CAAGTGGTGGCCTTCAAACCTACAAGCGATGGCCTTCAACCTACAAGCGACGGCCTTCAACCTACAAGCGATGGCCTTCAACGTAAGAGCGATGGCCTTCAACCTACAAGGGATGGCCTTCAACGTTCTTCCTACAACCGATGGCGTGCTTCCTACAAGCGATGGCCTTCAATCTAAGAGCGGCGGCCTTCAATCTAAGAGCGATGGCCTTCAACCTACGAGCGATGGCCTTCAACCTACAAGCGATGGCCTCCAACCTACGAGCGATGGCCTCCAACCTACGATCGATGGCCTTCAACCTAAGAGCGATGGCCTTCAACCTACAAGCGATGGCCTCCAACCTACAAAGTTGGACACCTGGAAGCACCCCCCTTCTTTGGGGGGATAGCTGCATACGATATACATGGACGCTTGGAAGACGACCCTGTTTGTTTTTTGGGGGGTTGGAATGTGGATCCACTTCCGCGACATGTACACAGAAACCTCCTCCAGTCTTCCCCACCGACACCGACTCCGTGGCTCGCATCTTCAGGTTCGACGCGTGGCCCGGGTGGCTGGCTCGGATGCTCGGAGGGTCGGATGGAGAGAAAAACGGACCGGTCGAAGTGTGGCACCTGGCTATTCTTCCATGCTGTATAGGCCATGTACTATGTAAAATATGGCATGGCTAGTGACGCTATGGTGAGCGACTGGGGGTTGGAGCGCCTGAGAAAACATTGATCCAAGGGCACTTTGCAATGAATCATTCGAGCACTCAGAAGAAAACCGTGTCTCATGATGTTTGTTTTTGCTCACCCGCCTACCGTAGCCTACGTGAGTGTTTATGGGGTGCGGAAAAGAAAACCTGAGAACCTGTGAGCCAAAAGAAGCTACCTGGTCCAACCCAAGAAGTGCTTCGCGGGGCCGTATGACTGGACCCACATCCTAATTAATCACTTGGATTTAATTGAAAGATGTTGGATGTATATTATAACTGGGTGACAGCCGCAGGCCGACGAAGCTCCATCATTATATATAGATGCTTTCATATTTACTAAGGGAGAAGTGCTGCAGTGGCCAAGGGATTACGTGCGGATTTGGTCATATGTGTTGGATTTGAGATTGGTACAGTTGTTTCCATCCAGCTTTGTCGTTGCAGTTTCGGCACTATGTCGACAGAAAAGCGCCATGGTCAGGGCGTGGCCCAGAAGCATGACGTACTCAGCATTCTTGAGATACCAGTGAAAAAAGATCAGGTGGACACAAGATATAGTTGCATTGTCCATCTAAAGCTTTGCATATGAACCAAACTGCTGGAGGAGCGGCACCGGTACACGGGGTTTCCGACCGGTACGCGGAAACCGGGTAGGTGATGGCAGGCCCGGAGGCAAACATTCAGACAATATCAAGAGATATATCAAGCATACTTAGCTCGACGAAGATGTGTCCCTCTTGCCATGGATTGTTTCTTTTTCCTGGTTCTAGAACATCTATGTCAGTTCTTGCCAGGTGAAACATGGCATCCGTTTAAATGGCAGCACAGGCTCTCAGGGCTTGGCCTTGAAACAATGTCTGCCACAAAAAACACTGAACAAGACAACCCATCCGACTCTCCATGTTGCTGGCGCCATGTCCGCCCGGCTCGCTGCGGTGACCATCGCCCTCCTCCTGCTGTGCTCGCGCAGTGATGCAGGGCCATATGACCTGGTGGCCGTGCAACTCCTCGAGGAGGAACGGACAGCTTGGGGGTGGTATTTGTAGGGCCCCCCAAAAAATATATATATATATATGTAAGAATTTATATATATATATACTGTAGTTATATAAAATAAGTTATATACAGTATATATAGGTCCTGGTAAAGTGTGCTTCTAGCTCATTGAAAGCATCTTCCAACAGGCTCATCTTGCTCCAAGAGTCGGTCTGGGTGACCTAATCCCCTCTGGTGCGTTCCAGGAGTGTCCTGCCTCGACTGACCGGGAGGTGCTGAACGCTTGGCACACACCCACAGTGGCTTCACTGGAGGCGGACAGTCAAGACAGTCATTTGATGAGGTGAACAGGATTTGAGATGATTTGAGTAGTTCTGGATTGTTCAAACATTAAGGACCCACTTCCGTTAAAGGAGGAGAACATATGGATGTCGGGATGTGGGTCAAGCCGAGCCACCCTGCATACCAAAGAGATGGTTCTTAAATGATGCCATGAGAGACCATGTTTCAGCCAAACAACGGGTGTTCAGGTAGATCATGTTGCTCATGTCGTGGCGCCTTCGCCATAAGCACCAGGTGCTTGACCTTGGGACAAGACTGACTCAAGGCGCGTGCGCACCTAGCTGGAAACTTTGGTCGCGCCAGCCGTGCAGCGGCGCTGGCGCACTGGCTGGCTGCCTTGCTGCGACTGTGGCTCAGCATTCGACTGGACTGGCATGAGCAGCCGTAGCCAATCTAGTGAGGCAGAGAATCCATATCCGGGTTTGTGGTGAGAGATCCATTTCAAGACACCTTGAGTGTGTCCAAACCAGATGACATCTCAAACTGTAGATGAACCTTCCCCACCAAGGACCAGACATCACCAAATGTGTTTGGCCGTTTTCCTGGATTTGGGCTGGCCTAGGACATGCAGCGCAAAACTTTGTTAGAGTCATTCTTACACCCTCAAAACTGGGCACCGCCGGTACACCAAGGGTGGTTACACTCCGAGTCACATTCCATGGAAGTGGACCATCACCTGTTTGTAGAGGAAATGTTCATCCAAAAGGCCATTGTCCCCTTCCATGATTGTTTCAGGGAGCGTGCAGCGTATTCCCAGGTTTGAGGAGCACTTGCCTGCGGCCTTCCAGTGCTCGGCACTTTGTGCGCAGCACTTGCAGAGCACCGCCGAGTGGTCTCTCTCATTGGACTATCCTCGAAGGGCACGGATCCTCATCCAGCTTGGACGCTCGGTACGACTCGTGTTGCGTGGCTGGGAGTGTGGCTGGGATGGTGAAGAGCGACACAAAAAGAAGCACAATAGATACCACAAGTGCAGAGCAAGGCAGAGCAGCTTGTCCATGCACAGTGTGGGTGTTTGACCAACCAGGCCGAAGTCACTGCTGCAAGTCATGGCTGCTGGCTGGCTGCATGTCATGCCCATGAGCCGTCCACGCGTCAGATGGGTCGAACGGAAACTGACGAGAAACCTTATTCTTAGCTTAATCTACCAGAATTCAATGGAATTCATATCCTTCCCAGACTCCCAGAGATATTCATTATCAACCGCCTGTTCATGAGTGACCTAGTGACAGAATCATGACCAGGTTTGAGCCGGTTGCCAGGAAACCCCCTTTGGGTTGGCTCTTGGTACCTTTGGACCGGTGCGGTCCAGCATGAAATCGACAAAGGCAACGCCTTCAAGTTCCAAGCGCTCAAGGACTTTGCCAATTTGTATCATGAGATCAAAGCGGTGCACGGAGAAGTGAATGAGGATGGGCATCCAAATTTCTGACTGGTGCAAGAGATCCCATCATCAAAGACTGTTTTGGAGGGGGACGTGTCCTTGCCCATCGACTCCCAAATGATCCGATTCAGATCCAATTGATCCATATACAATCCTCGTCATACCCCATCATTCCTGTACATATATCGCTTCGGGCTCGTGGGGCGTTTTTGGGCGTCCGAGGTACTCGGTCCGACCGAGAAACGGTCGGACGCCATGGACTCGTCGTTGGTGAAAGTCTATTGTCCTGGATCACACGTTTTGCTTGAGGATGCTTTTTTCGGCACGTTAGGTGCCTTCCAGCTACTCTTCCACCCTATGTCAGAACAGCTCACGCAGGCAGTGCGGTCACAAAGTGCGATGCCAAAGCGCTTCTTGCCCCGATTGCATATTCAATACCAGAGCCTTGGCGAACCCGAGCCTTCCGCGCTGGTGTGTTTCTCATTTTTTCTCCACACCAATGCAGCCCAACAGAACCTGGCGTTGACAGTATTATCGGGCTAATTTGCACCAGTAGAAGATCGGTTGCTCCGTTATCCTTTCAAGGTGCGCATATGTGCGCATGGATTTCACGTGGCTGCCATGGACTTCGCGATAAACCCAAGCAGCTGATGGAAACCAAGCAGATAAAGAAGTAAAGTATAATCGATTTGTGACGATTCGTCGAAGTGTGACGATTCCTGGATGAGTTGCGAGTGCTGAGCTCCACCAAACCGCCCAGTCGAGAGTCACACTGAGGATCATGCTGGGCCAGCTCCACGAAGCTTTGCGGGTCCACCCACTGCCCTGGCAGCATGACCGTGCACAGAGCGTGGAAATACATTCCATTTGCTGCTGGGCTGGGCTGGGTGAGATGTATTTCCAGCATCATTTGAGCTGTTTTCTTCAGCATTCGACTCTTCAGGACTCTTCAGCCTCACTCTTTTAAAGACGGCTGCCCTGGCTCGCTGTTCATCCGCGCTGAGGCGCGTATCAGCCAGATCCAACGTCAAAGACCAGCCTTGAGTCACTTGGGCCAGAAAATGTTGCGCCACCAAGGTAGACCGCCAGCTAGACCGTTGCAAGAGGGGTTGAATGATGTTGGACACCTTCAAATCAAAGGACTTAGAGTTTCAACTTCAATGATCACGTTGACATTTTTTGAGACATGGTTTATAATTAGATATATCGATCCGTAGATATCCCCTAGACAGGGTACAATATGTTCAATAAGAGGATAAGGGAAAGTTCAATCTACCGCGGTGGCTTTTCGATTGTAGTGTGTGCCGCCGGCGTGCCATGATGGAGCCACATCATGCTTGTCGAATGATTTGATATGTGTGAATGTCAAGTGATCAGATCGTCACTCAAGGCGCAACCGGAACTGTTCATCCGAGAACTAGCACGATTGATAGGCAAGTCATCCTTCTTCCAATTGACCGTGATAAAGATGGCGTGTCTCACCGTAGATCCTACAAAGAAATGTGGCTCGCCGGCCGGACATCAGATGAAGTCAGTGAGTCTCAGAGGTAGGTGGCCCTAGGTCCCCGCTGCTGGAGCTCTCAGTACCGAATCATCGGGCTTATGCACAGCGGCACGGCTACCGCTATGTGGTGCACACGGAAAACGTGTTGCCCGACCGGGAGGCTCACTATAGCAACCTGGCTCACTATAGCAACCTGGGAGGCTCTCCATGCTAGCTCATCAGCATTGGAAAAGGAACTCTACATATGAACAACTTTTCGCATGATTGATGGGAGTCAGCCGGATCTCAAAGGGCATCTCAGGAGTCAATGGAATAATTGTTGAAATCCATTTCAATGCTCTGACTGATGTGTGCGAGGGTGTAGTTTGTTGACTGCAACCGGTCGAACATGATACCTGGGCCGTTTCCTTTGTTCCGAAATTGGACCATAGAAGCGGATGGTGCCATCCAAACTCCCGTCAGGGGGAGTGATCAGGTTTGAATGTCATCAGTTTCATTTGACCCCAGCCATGCAATTGCTTGGAAGTTGCCGATGGATGAATCATGTTGTTTTCTGGAAATGGGATTGGTCAGAAGAGTGTGAGTGAGCTCTAGTACATGCCTAAGAAGCTTCAAGAGCCTACAATAAACTCCAAAC